AGTATGAGTGCACAAAGCATGCTTTGCATGCCGATGTCGTGTGACATGAGCTCTGGGAGCCGTGAAAAGCAACGCAAAACAAATAGCTTTATAGGGATTCTGTATATCAAGACTGCTTGCAGTACTTTAGCTTTAGAGGAGAGTGGGAATATTCCAGAAGGTTTTCCAACTTTGGCGCTCTTGCGAAGACCACTCATTTAATGTATTACTTTAGTGTGATCACATAGTACTACTTGGAATACAAAATAATGAAGACAACTGAATAAAGCCATGAAGTGTGAGATGTGAACTATGTAACCATCTCTTCTGCTTACTTTTAGCTGGGCGGTTTCCAATCGATCAAGTAGCCCTTTATGCAAGACGTTCCGTACTCGTCCATCAAAGAACTTCCTATAGATTGCTGCACAATAAGAATATATGTATGTGCAACATCTATAGAACAAACCTGAAGAGACACTAAAGAGAAGAATATCTTTTATTTTATTATTGAAATAATATCAGTCATACAATAACTTATCAGAAGTCATCACGTAAGAGACTTGGATGGAGTGTACAGGGGCCTACGTAGATCTTAGTTGCTAAGAATTAGCAAAAGTGACCTCGGAGTAGAACATAGACTTGACATACCAAGTTTCAGGGTACTTTAAAGAGCTAGTGCCCGTAAAATATGATGAATAAAGTTCGAAACTGTGACGGTGCACGCACGGAGATTATTGTGTGAAAGTCTTGAATAGAGCTTTGACCTTGACTTTAATCAACATCAATAAACCTAGGGTGGTGAAACGAGTACCATTCGAGTTTTTAATTTTTTCCCATAAAACCAAGTCTATATTGCACTTCAGTGTCCCTTTACTAACTGAACAAAGTGCAAGGCTGGCCCGACCCGAGTCTGCTACCTCAGAACCGTGCCCGGCCCTAAGCCAAAAGCTTCAGGGCTGAATCTGGCCTGAGCCGTTTATGAAACCTATTTTATCCAACCTGCCCTAGGTTTTTGGGGTAGGCCCGAGAACCTGCCGGGCTCTCATTTCAATACAGTAAATACCCATTACGCTATGAAATTCCAAACAAATATTAGAACATGTTCACAGTACGCAGCTATGTTATCCAAATCGTGTTCCTGCATAGTCAAGGGTAGTTGCTAGCTTTTGCGGAATGTTGCCTGTGAGGGACCACTGCATGCAGATTCGCCACTACAATATTCACTCTAACCAAAAAATATATTTGACTCTACTCTAAGACTTTTGGTTTGCAGCACAGATAACAATTTTTAAAGAAACATGGCAACTCTCTTTGTAGATTATCATACTCTCTTTGGTGAGTTATGGGCCCCGAAGACTGTTAACGCGACTCTTTGAACAAAGTCATATATGGGGCAAGAAAGGACTCACCCAAAGAAGGGACAATACTTTTTTCTTATACCGGTGTCACACGGACACTTTTAATCCCGATCAACTTTATGACCGCTGCTAGAGGGACCAAGCTAAACCGCTTCGAGCTTGGGTCAGATGAATTCCAGCAGCTGGCGCTTGCTCACCCTGAAAGATGTCATTGTCAAAACTCAGGGTAAAATATTTTTATAGAGTCCTTTATCAGCAATGTTATTCGAGCAAGAACCGTTCGAATGTGAAAAACTTTGCGTGCCACTACGAAAGTTATTGCATATGTCCATAATTCGGTAGAGTTAACTTGCCCTTACCTGTATTGTTGTGTAAGACCCTTAACCTTCGCTTTTATTTATGACTCCCGCTCGTAGCCTTCAAGTCGCAGCGAAGCGTCAATCTCGTTCTACGCACCTGAGTTTCACTTCTGGCACTTCAAGTCTTCCAGTCGCTCCTGCCAGTGGTGAAATACTGTTAAGGTTTCTTCATTCTACCACGAAGTGCGCGTACGTCGAGACGTAGTCGAAAGGCTTGCGACACTTCTCATCAGTTTGCTTTGAAAGGCTCAAACAGCTCCGATGGTGCGAGAGTTGAACTAAACGTAGGAGGCACCGGTTGTCGTCTGCTTCTGCCGTAAATACATGCGGTTGAAACGAATAATATAATTTGCAATATTTAGATATTGTTCCAGTTTAAACAGTTTAGAATTTGCTTCCTTATAAACTTCGAGCTGTATTAGAGTGTTTTATTGAAATCTGCTCAATTTTCATTTTATTCTACTTTCAACAAGCTCAACCAGTGGGCGCACATGACAGCAAAATCGCGATCTCTGAGATTGCGATGCACGGATCGTGGTTTATCCGGGTCAACGCTCATCGTGATTAAAAGTGGCCATGTGACACCGGTATTAGAGTGTGCGCTGCCAATAATAGTGCCACCATCGCTATCACCACACAATGTGTCCTCTATTACATGTGCCTCGTGGCCTTCGATGGGTGTCACTTTACATTTTTTAGGAAGCGTTTGTGTGCTGACTAACGATCAACTGCGCAACTGATTTATGGTTCGCATCCGCGTAATAAATCAAGCGAACGTAAAAACTCAAAAAATTGTTGCTTCTTTATAGAGTCGGCCCAGCCTCCGCTACTTGAGAAAGTGTGGTCATTGTTTCTGGCAGTGCCATCCATCATCTTGAAAATTTGCACGTGTTTTACAAGGAGCACGCAATCTACCGCGTCGTAGCGCTTTGAGTCTTTTAAGACGCACTTGACCATGACAGCAGCCAGTCCACAATGTAGTTCAGTGCACTGTGTATATGTCACTTGTAAGCGAATTTTCGGGACTTACTACTGTACATACCTTTGATATATTTTTCAGACAGGAATGCAAATGCACTGCAGACGTCGAATGAAATGGTCGCATCCAGCAATTCATGCCTAAAGTGGGGGTGATGGTGATGTCACTTAAGGTTATAGTATTTCTGGAGACCCTTTCCGCTGCTGGTCCCACAGAGCAAGCTTTCTGTGCGTAGTTTATGTCACCACGAACCAAGTATTGCTGCTTCTCACAACAAACTCACAAATATGAGAAACACATATTGAGCACTACCCACAGCCCCTTTGAGAAAACTGTATGCGTTCCCCGCATTCGGGTGCATTCCTTTTTCTCAAGCGGTCCAGTAGCCTTTCTTTTGGATGCGCAAGCCAAGACAGTAAATTTGCAGCTATTCATCTCTTTTTATGCTGGCGTTTTGTGTCAGGCTTACCGTCAATGTTACGTATCTATTCTTCTGAGAGAAAATTACTGAATGCGCTATGACTACGAGGTTTGTTCCTGACATGTACGATAACTGAAGGGCCATTAATAATAATGTGCCATCGAGTTGCAGTGAAGTTAGCTTCAGCAGTAATTATCCAGAACTAGACGCGAAGTTGATGAGGGAAATACTGCCTTTTGTTTTTTTTCGTTTTGGAGTGATCTGCTCTCTGTGATTTTCCTTGTTTCAGGAGCACCTTAATAGCCGAGACACTAAATCAATGTCGCAATGAAGGGCAGGATAAGTGAGCTTAGAAGCAAATTACTATTTTTGCCAGAGTTTAAACCTGATTTCCGACACTCCTGTGCCAAGCACCAAGAATTCAACAAGCTCGAATTGGGCCTGGGGGTGGTCTGGCTATTTTGTCCTCGCTCGGGGGCAACGTTCCTCGAGGGGCAGCGTCCACTTGCAAGCAAAGTAACTAAAATATAATGAATTGTCACGTTAGATTTTGCCTAAGTGAAGTCTAAGCCGGTTTGTAGATAACAATTGAACGTTATTTGGCATGACTACGCCTGCGCAGCAGGCAACGCCTTTTGATGGTTGTGAATAGCTCGGCGACGTGGCTTAGCTGGCACAGATGCTGCGCTGCTGAGCTCTTAGTTGCGGATTTTTACCCGGCAACGTGCCCCGTCAATGGTTAGAATCCTAATGGAACAATGCACTTGTTATGCCTACATTTGGGTGTATGTCGACAAAAATCACGTTGCTTGAAGTTATAAGGAGTTCCATGGTACATTCCTCATACATTATTGTTGGTTTTGATACGTAATACCCCAGAATTGGTATCAAAGTTCGCAATGTCGCCTGAGAGAGGCTTGATGTCGGGGAACGAATCTAGTTATTATGAGTAATAAAACGTTTAAAAACAGGAAAAGCACAACACACATTGCGAACAGCGTAACGAGTGGGTAGTCCAATACCCGAACCCATTCCAAAAGCTTGTTATCGATCACCTAATAACTGTGGCGCATACCCACTTCAGGCATAATTCCTGATCGTTGTCAGCCACTGCATGAACAATTGGCGCAAAATTCCTTGGAAGTGTTTAGTGATTCCCTTGCTTCTCAGAAGAATGACAAAGAGTAGTAAAGCGAATGCTGGCCTACTAGCAATAAAATGTGATTATTATTGCCGTAGTGGGTGCCCGGCAAGTGTGATTGCTGCAGTTACCCAATGACTGGTTAGAAAAGAATATGAAAGCCTGCTCTTCTAGCTTTCGCTGTGACTGTGCTGGGCTTTTGGGCAGGCCTGGTGTTTTTTTTTTCATTTGTTGCTGTTGTTCCTGGTTTTTCGTACGTCAGAATTTTTTCACAAGTGAGCGCTACGCTGTTTGTGCAAAGCCAAATGTTTCACGAAACACAGGGTTACTGGTAGTGTAAACATTAGAACAAAAGCTGTTAGCATACTCTGCGAGAAGTGTTTTCTTTTTCGTTATTTTGCAACAGGAAGCTAGAGATGCCTTGTGTTACGCAGACTTCGTCGTCTAAGGAACCGTTTAAGAGTCTCTATATTTGTAACTAAGTGGCTTTTGTCTTCTTATGCTGATAACTATAGCTGAATATTTAGATGGTGTCAAAATGCGCAGTAAGCTTTCTGGACGGATGTAATGCACAACATGGAATCTGGAATCTCCCTACTCGCGCGTCAATCTCCGGTAATCCGGTAATAAAAAAATGGTCATACTTTCGAGCAATATCTAGAGCCATGATGTACAAATAATTACGTTCAGCAGTGCTGCGGTAGCCACAAAAATAACTGACTAACTGACAGACCATTGCACTGCTTTCTTCATTTGGGTGCAGGTTGACCTTCGACAATTGATGATGACCTGCTGTTCCCCTTTGGCAGAGCACGCCAACCGCACGTTGACCAAACGAAGCTGTTCGTTCGGCGGGTCCCTGCGTAGCAGCACGGTAGTGATGTCTGCCGCTGCTGCAGGCACCAACCACTTGGGTGCGTCCAGCGTACGCCGGCAGCAGCGCAGCAACGGTTTCCCTGCCTCATCCACTGTCACGGTTCCCCTGCGCACCCTTGCTCACCCTGGCCATAATGCGAACTCGGGCGCTGGCACAAGCGGTGCATCTATTCGTGTTCCTATTTACGCGTGAGCTGAAAGCGAGATGGCCAGGCTTTGTATCGGGGAAGCCGTACGGTTGTAACTTCAAAACCACGCTGTTCCGATGACTCTACTTAAGTGAACGGTTTGATAGTTGCAGTAATCTATTATTAATAGGGTGCATACACAAATTTTTGGCGGGAACGAGTGCCACCTAGTAAGACGTTTTGCAATTGCAAAAGCCAACCCAGCAAATGTTATCTCGTCTGCAGAAACATATGAGAAGGTTATATCTGTTGCGCATACAAAACCAATCGTGACTTCGCTGTTTAGTCACTTTACATAAGAGCCACAGCTTCATGGTCCACATTGATGGGGCAAGGAGAGGGGCGCTGAGAGAGATACTTGTCACTTGTCAAGTGCAGAAAAATCTCGCAGTAGGTATCAAACTGGACTCATGCCATTCCGCATAATATACGAGTGTCTAAAAAAGTCACTGCAGGTGAAAAGCTGCGGAACTCAGATGGTGAAAAATAAACGAAAAAAAAGGAAAATGGAGATTGTATAGACTGTCAGTCTTTCCTCTAAAACATCATCTGTACTTTCATCTTTATGATTCGCTAAACGTGCCCTCATGTTCAACTATACATATCTTTCTGCCTTTCCCTAAGTAAACATAATCGCACTGCTCTCCTCATCTCTATCTCCTCACTGCTCCTACAGGTCAGGCTATGTTTGCCTATGAGTATATGTGTACATCTTGCAAGCTAATATAGGTGAACATACTCGAAGCTCATGAAGCAACAATGATGTGTGAGGTTTTAAAAATCTCAAGTACAGCGTGGGAATTGTATACACAAATTTCAGAATAGGATTCCTATTTTTATCGCTTTTGAGACTTTGTAGGCGCAAGTGGCTGGCGTACCTCCGCATGCCCTGTAAATACTAAAACGAAGAGTTTGCTTGGTGGAATGTTAATTGATAATATATGAAATATTGGTTGTTCACAAATATATTTGTTACAGACCATTTTCAGTCGAAATTTTTTGCTTGCGAAATCCTCTTGGAATCCCCAAAACCTCACCTCATATTTTTTAAACATTTCAAGTAAACATGCGCCTCGTGTTCCGAATGCCGTCACCATCAAGAGTGCCAAAAAAAATGGAGACGCTACATGCCATGGGCATACTACAAATTAAAAACTAGCAGTTATCGGTGTATGAATAAAACCGATGAGCGAAGCGCTTTAGTATTGGGATGCAAACGACTACGCGCCTGATCTCACGAGTGAGTTTCATGAAAGTGGTAGGGTGGGGAACGAGTGCGGAGAGCGTCAGCTGCGGTAGGTGGCGGAAACCAGAGAGCATGTAAGTGCGTGGCGTGCACAGTGCAGCGCGAGCCAGCCCAGGCGACGGAGGAGCCACTGGGTGGAGTGTAACCCCGAAAATTTCACGAGATTGAAGACGACAGGGCGAAGCGATGGTTACGCAGATTCGGTGGTTTGAGGGTAGAGAGCAGAGACGAATTTAAGAAAAAGAGAGAAGGGTTATGTGGGAGAGGGGTGTAGTGGTGTTCCAGCAGGAAGCTTCTATGGCACTGACAGGGACGGTGACCTGCAGGCCTAAAAAGCTTCACTCCTAAAAAAGTCACAGCTTTGCCGCAAAGGTGAAGCAATGAACGCGATGGCAACAATTTGAAAGGTCACGCGCAGAATGGAAAAAAGATTGAAACGTGCCCCACGTTTCTCGCACACAAATAGACCTTTATTGAGGTACGTCACAGCATGAGGTCACCGCTGCACGCGCAAGGCAGTGTTTGGCAAAACACTCCCACCGGTAGTTGAGTGAGGTGCAGTCGCTTGGTGCTTGAGGCAAGTTTTTGTTTCTTTTTGAAAGCCTAATGTTTATCTTAAAGTAGAAACATTAGCTGTGGTATGTGTCAGAGAACATCTAGGTGTGTGGTAAAGTGCCTGACGAAACATTTGCCATGCTGACTGTCTGTTTATCTCGGAGAAGTGAACACACGTGGCGGCCTGTGCGAGGAACAGCGGCATCGTCTTAGAAATCTGTGCAGTGTTGACTGTGGCAGTGTAGTGTGCATTGAAAGGTATCGACAAGTATTGGTTCACCTATTAAGGACGGTGAAACTGAGAATAGTGTGCGTGGTATGTGCAGTGTGAATAACGCGATGCGTTCTGTTTGCGAAAACACGGGTATTCGTTGTGGGCTGGTTGCATGTAACCGGTTGTCAATTGATCTTCATAATCCTGACATTTTTGTCAAGGTAAGAGTACACTTGACGCGCATCATCTGCAAGTGCGTACATCTCAGCGTATGCGCGGTGTGCAGAAAAATAAAAGTACATGATCTCCTGTTGATATATACGACTACGGCATGAGCTATAGGCATGTTGTAGCGTTGCTGAATCTGCATGTACGCTTCACCGCGGCTATAAAACGTATTATCGGATACCTCATACGTGGTAATCGAAACAGTGGAGATTTTGGTTTCTTATTCACTTTGTAATTTGAAGGCTCGAACCTTATGAAGTGGACAATGCTCATTAGCAGTTTGTGTATCAAGCCGAAAGGAGCAATACAGGTACGCAAACAAGTTAAAAGTGTCCAATGCAGCAAGGTAACTGTGCCAGATAATATTATATAATATTAGGTTTCGGGTTTTACATCAATATAACTTTCACTGGATTATTGAGAAACGCGGTGGTAGATTTTCCACTCTAATTTTCACGAGCATATGTTAACGCCAGCCTACTAATATTATTATAATATCCTCAGACTTTTGCTCAACGAGTGAGAAACTTATCCGTCATGTCGCGCTCAGCATCTCTAAAGCAAGCTACCGCCAATGCTGTACCGCGTTTGAAACTGCATTGCACATGCCACGATTAAATTGAATAAGTTTTAATCTATGCCACGCAAATATTTCTCAAGATTTTCTTATGGCAGCCATGTGCGTGGGTGAAGCCCACTGCGTGCTAGTCACGCCTATGCGTACTCTAAATAAAGTTTCTTCATCCATCCCTCTATGACGAGCAAATCTCCACACTATGAGCAGTGACCCTTCCGCAACCCCCTTCTTTCAAAAGCTGTGACTTTAGAGCATAACAATGTAGAAATTTCTGTCGAAGGTATGCAGACACGCAGCTAAAAACACGGAGAGGTCTCTAACGCACGAAACTTACTCACAACTACAGATGCACGCGAATAAGCGTCTCATTTGTTACTTCACTGAGTCTGAAAAGCGCATGCTTTTCGCGAATGGACACTGCAATGACTGCAGTGACCTTTGTGCGCCCGATAACTACCGCAGAATTGTTACACGTAAAGCCCGAGGCCAGCCAAGGCGTACGATCTTCTCCTCCTCGCCACCTAGAGATAAGGGCGCACGAGGGAGCGTCGCACCCCTTCTCAAAGATGGGCAAAATACATATAGGGATTTGAGCGGGCGCCGATGTGCGTTCTGGCAGCGTGTGCTTATTGCGCCATCTTTCTGGTACTGCCGAAAACACAGCAGCGGTAAGTGGTAGATATGAATAGCTTGCCGCTTGAACGGTGAAGAACATTCTCCAAGGTAACTCCATGGTTAACGCCTCGCTTTCACGACGCAGAGGTCCCATGGTCGATTCCGCGTGCCCGAGTGCTTTTTATTTCAGGATTTTTTCTCTCTTGCGTTTTCATATACATAGATACGTATACATATACGGTGCATGACATTGACGCGGACACCATATCCGGCGGCAAAATCCAGCCGAGAATGTCCATATAATTGCGATCGCAATAAATCCTCGTGCTCCTCTCCAGACCTCCCTGATATCGCCACCTCTCCGTGATGTCTTCGGCATAGGCGTGCGCAGGGATCTCGTTCGGAGGATGGGGGGGTGAAGATTTGTCGCAGCACTCCCCTCCCGTCTTTATTACGTCAATGTATGCAGCAGATTTCGCAACACCCCTTCTTAGGTGACTGTGAGTGAGCCATGCTCCTAGTCAGTGTAAGGAGCAGGTATTGCCTTCCTTCTTACAAGACTAGGGTGGTTGGCGGCCTCCTCTGCGCCTATGGTGCACACGCTAATAGTCCTCAGTATAATATGGTGATATTGACTTCCCAAGAAGTAGTTCGCACGCTATCAAGAACATGCGCTTTTTGCCCTTGTTCTTCGCACTGCGAGGAGAAGCGCTCGAAGAGGAGAAAAGCCAGCGTGGTGAAGAAAAGAACAAACAAACGATGGCCGCATGTCAATCGCCAAACGCGTCACTCCGCCATCACGGTATCGTTTCGCGGAACGCGCGGCTGCGAGGTCGTCGCATACTCGTGCACAACTAGAACACCAGAGCTAAACTTTGACATTGAGGTGAGTTAGGGGCCCTTTCAGTGGAAGGAAAATTTTTTTACAGAAAAAAATATTTGGCTATTGAGTGTTCTCGTTGGTTTAGACAAGTTCTGCTTACTGGGTAAGTTGGTGCATGTTAAAATAGCATTGACTTAGCGCAGCTTAGTATGAGCGGGAAGAGAAGATGCTATAGGGTTGTCTTATTTACATGTCATACTGTCGTCTGCTTTTTTTTTCCTTTTTTGACCGTATAGCAAATTTTCTTCACACTCAAATTGAGAAATGCTAAATCAGTACAACTTTATCTGGTTTGTTTGTTCAGACCGCTCTTCCACCATCGCATTACATGCTGTACCCCTCCCATATAGTCATTGCGTGTGCACATAGTTATTTGTATATAAAAGACGACGTGGCCATTTTATGTGACTTCTCAACATGTTTCGAACACATTGCTTATCGCTGTCGCTGCTAAGACGATTGAAATGTCTGCTAACAACATTGAAATGGGCAAGAAAACTTCATAGATCACAGAATGCCACAGAATGCGCATGGGCTGTGAAAAATAGTGTTTTACTACAGCGGCTACTCAATGTTTGTGGCTTACCGATTGCGCGCGCAGCTGAGTTGGCGCCATGTTTTGCGTGTTCTCATGTTTATGTGTTCAATATCATTAAACAGTGGTGCTGAGAGAATATAAAGACATGA